GGAGCGCTCGCTGCGCATCGGTAATGAACGCCGTGTCTCTACACGCCCCAGGCTATAGGGAACGAGCCTGATGTTCGCCTCCAAATATAGATCCTTCGATCCGACGACGTGTCGAGAGTACGGCAACAGAAGTCCATGAACACTCCAGTGGGTACATAAGCGACTTCTGAGGCTAATGGTGATGAACGCGCGGATTATTTAGACTGCATATGTGAAGGCAGCCCGCCCGTTTTCCGAAAACGCTAAAGCCACCCCTGTGCATGTATGTCAGTGTACTCGTATGCGTGTTGTACGAACGGTGAATAACTGCATGTGTCCGCAATTCACAGCAAAAGGTCCGGGTCGAACGTTAAAAATATTATATGTCTTGCAGGTTATATTATATAGCAAGGTGTGCGTTGCCGCGCCTTCCTCTAACAGCAGTCCGTGCAGGCCTGGCGACTCGGCCAGGCCGAGCAAGCTCCTGGGTAACATTCCCTTCGGTTATGTATCACGGGAGTCCCATGGCTGTCGCTATATCCCTTTCGGCAGTCAACAGGCTTGGTATGAGGCCATAAGAGTGGTTATATAACGCAACACCTGTTACGTAATTGTCAGAACAGTATGCTTTTGAGGAAGCCGAAAAAAACATATTATCAGTGATTGTATTCAAGCTTTTAAGAACTTGATAAGAGCAAAGGAAATATCGCTAAAAGACTAATGAGATAATTGCACCGCGAGTTTAATGACATTTTTATGCCGGTCTCGCCCTGTCGAACGCCGAGTAATAACGAAAGGGTTCTTTACTTCAGTTTCAAATTCGAGGGAGACATCTGATACGCATCGCGCGTTTGTCTTCAGATGTTTCCATAGCTCGTGTTGAATGCAGGCACCGACGACCATGCTCTGGACAAAGCCATGCCATCGTGCACATGAACGGGCGCGAAAACTCGAAAAACTGGCTGCGGTGGCCCACTGCGCTGTCCCAGTAGCCGAGTAGTCACTTTTCACTGCGCTGTGCCAGTAGCCGAGTAGTCACTTTTTGCCGCGGCGCCCGCACAACCAGCGACCTTTTCAGGCCCCGCACTGCTGGCACGGACACGGTGCTAACGGCCGCCGGTACCGGCAGGCGCCGGCGGACACAGAGAGGCGGCATTGGACGGGGTTGCAGCGATACCGCGGCAGTTTCCCAACAATTTATCAAATATCAGCATTCCAAAAACTCCTCCGATCTCGCTTGCCTATCCATTGTCGTGATATAACGAGTTGCTTTTTCTAATAATATATCGAAGATAATATAAGAATAAGAGATAATATAAGAGAAAAACGCATTTTTAGGCCTATTTCCAAAGTTGCGGGGGCTTTTTCCTGCTTGATACTCACTCCACCCCATGTTCTAAATTCGTCGGTGAAGGAAGCTCAGGATGTGCCAATATACATAAGTAGCGGCCAGCGGGGATCCAGAGAGGGTGGTTGAGTCTCTGAAGTGTGACTGATGGACTCCGGAGGAAGGGTAGGGTCCATTGAAGGATGGGTGAGTCCAGATACGGTGGCGGAGTCCAATGCAGGGTAGCGGAGTCCAATGCAGGATGGCTGAGCGAACTGCAGACAAGGCGGCCGATCCGGTAGTCGAAAGACCACGCGGCGAACACGACAGTCCCCGCACCAGCCACGACGACGCCCAGACGAGCGAACGCCGTCCATCACAGGCCCCTATATACCGTCCATCAGTAGCCCTGTGTGACCCCACCGGGATCCGGCGGGAGTCACTGGGACAGTCTCTGAGAGGGCGCTGGACGGCCGACCGAACCAGGTCGAGTCGGTGAACCACACGACCCTGCCGTGGAAGCAGCATTGTGAGCGAGTGGGTAGAAGATGCAGAGGGTGCACGCCGGCCCGTGGCCATTGGTCGCTAACTCCGAGACGCAGTCGGTGGGGAGGGATGGGGCGGGGTGGAGGGGTGGGTACACCGGCGGTGTGGGCTCCGGCCAACACGGCGGATACACCCGCCGGCCCCCTGCAGACACAGTCCGGCCGGCCGCCGGTCACCTGTGCCTGACTTCGCCGGAGCACCTCGGAGGGGCTCCGGCGGGCGGCCGGGCGCCGGCGGGCCGCGGCCGGACCGGTCCGTCGACCGCCAGCGCCGGCTGACGTGGCACCGGCCGGCGGCGGCGGCGGCGGCGGCGCTGGCCACGGTCAGGGCCGCGCCGCGCCGGTCGGCCGGCCCACGTGCGCACCCGCCATCGGCCCGGCCCGTCCTGCCGACAGTACCGCGTCACGGTGCAGCGACCATGCACAACAATTCCGGACAAAACAGTCGGGAGACTTCCGAAACATCGAAATTCAATTAACTACTGAAATGATTGACTCTAGCAAAGCTAAGAGACGTAAATATCAGTCATTATAGGAGAGCGCTGCTCTAATCAGCGAGTGTGTCCTCAGCCCGGTGACGAAGGCGCCACTCTGAGGGTCTGCAGGACGGAATTTGCGCCGAGAATAGCCCCGTGGGCGTGTTACACGCCACAGGCGGTATTTGCACTAGTAAAATCGATGCCAGGCTAGTGCCCCCTCGCCAGCATGCCGAGCATGGCATCGACAAAGAAATCGACAAAGGAGAGTCTACTGAAAGAGCATTAACTAGCTCGGCTGGGTGACATGGTTGAAACTTGAATATAGTTAAACGAGTAGAGTCAACTTTCAGCTCAGCGCTCAGGCCGTGTCAAGCCTGTGCCTTCGGTCTAGGTCTCGGACAATCTGAACGCAGTCCTCCGGCCCATCAGCTGTCCTAAGGCCTGAGCTGACGCACTGTCCAGAGGTGCAGGCAGGCTCCGCCAGCTGTTCCAGTCAGCGGGACCCGGGTTTCGCACGGCCCGTTGGCCCGTTCCCCATCCTGCCCGGTTCGGCCGCCGTCCTGTGCGGCTGTGCCCAGTCGGCCCCGGCGCCCGGAAGGTCGTTGCACCGGTGGACCAGTGCGGCTGTCCTGCGGCCGCCGCCTGCCGGCCTTGGACAGAGGAGCGCGCCGCTCGCGCCCGGTCCGGCCCAGGGGTAGCCAGTAACAGTTGGTAGCATTAGGCCAAATGGGCGCTCAAAAACTACTACCCCATAGGGTTTCCATGTTAAATCGACCTTTTTCAAGCGAGCCCCATACGTTAGCTAATAGATAAAGTGCCAATATTATTGTGGGGAAAGGTAGCCTCAAGCTTCCTCTACAACCTTTCTATCTAGCGTTTTTCGATGCGGAGGCCATAACAGGTCCAAAAAGCATTGGGCGCTGCCCGAGGTACCAAAAGCCCCTCCATGAGAGCACAAGTTCCTGCGCATGCGCAAATTGCCTCAACCCTGTACAAGCGTAAATTAGTGATACTGCTCACGGACTCGCTCAGCCAATCAGCATCCACGATTACATTCATAGATGTCGCTAGCATCACGTAAATCCTGCTTGCGAACACATTTAAAGAATGAAACAGCTGCGCCATTTCCGCCTTCCATTGATTCCTTCCATTTTAGTATCAACTATACGCTTTTCAACTAACTTTAGACTAAGTTTTAAACTATGGTTAGTATGTTATTTCTGGTACATATAATTTAAAAATAACTGCTTTATGAATTTGGCTTTACTCTTCAGAATGGAATACTCTATTTTTTCGATAAACAAAAAATATATCACCTACCCTGTAACTTGTCCAGGTAAAATGGGCGCTTTCCGCGTCGTTGGTGTACCCGTTGTTCTATATACCCTGGGTCCGGCCGGAGCGCATATATGGCAGTCTCACTGGGCTGAGCGGCCAACAATGGCGCCGGACGACGACACTGGTGAAATCGCCATGACGGGGCACACTCTGACTCCGACTCTGAACGGATGCTCGGTGTGGGCACACAAAGGTGCCGGGAGAGTCATGGAACCGCCCCGCCCGGGGAGAGGGCCACTGTCGCGGCGGTGAGAGACAGACGTACGCCTCGCCTCGGGCAGGAGATGGGAGCCCTTTAGTGCCAGACTTTCCAAAAAGGTGTCGGACTGTGTCCCGTTTGGGAAACCTCACAAACGGACTCCTGTATCAAACCAAAGCGACGGGCACAAATTCAGACGCAGAAATAATGATTAGTGTGTTATTACGCCGTTTCATTCGGTTCACCTGTGAGGCTGTGATTCATTGTCGACTGTCGAACCACACCAGAGAATGGTTGGCCAGCCAGCTACAGTCAACTGACACCAGTGGAATGCTAATTGTCCGTGACGGTTTAAAAGCGTCACTTAGGCGGGACAAAGCCTTCCAACGAGGCGCGGTGTGCTATCTGCGATCTGCGAACAATCGCTGGTGGCCCTGCGGAGGGCCGGCTTTACAGCCCGCCGGTAAAGGACCCGTGTCACTCATTATCGGGAAGCCCGCGACATAGTACGGCACGGTGCGGTATGGTATGGTACGCTACGGTATGACACTAGGCATGGTGAACGCCCCGCCCCGCTCAATGCCCCTAACTGAACACCCCGAGTTGGACTGCCCACTTTACGGAACTCTATGGAAAGGGAACTGCAAACAGGGAGCTCAGCAACTGGAGCGGTAGGCACCGACAGAGCTCCAGGGTCGAGGGAGTGTCGCGGTCACTCTGGATAAAAAATACTTGTTCTATTTATAATGGTTACACGACAGTTCCCGTGAACATCATGCACTAATGGACACTGCAATGTTAATCTATACATCCCGTCCTATTCAGCTAACCCGGTGACTCAGAATAGCATACGGCATGGGTCCTGTTGCGCCACAATGCCACTGCCAGCAGCGCATGATGAACGTCAGCATTTCTACACAACGGGCGGGGCAACTTCCGCCCCTCTGAGGCCTGCGATGGCGGCACGGCTGTGGGTGGGAGAGGTGCAGCACCCTCCCATTGGCCGGGGCAGGCCCCTTCTGTCCCTCTGGTGACCCGACCCGGTGGCGGAGCTGGGAGAGGGGCACACTCTCCGAGGGGACAGCTCTGTGAGAGGGTACACCTCTGTGAGAGGAAGGACAGCAGGCACATACCTGTGGAGACACTGAGCGACGACTCAGTGGTCGGCTGGTCGAATATCGACGTCGCCGCCCGCCGGTACCGCGCCGCGTCCACATCTGAGTCTGGCCACAAACGGGGAGCGCCGTCAACCACTGACACAAACGGGGAGCTCCGACCGATACACTGGAGAGCATGCCGACCGACAAACTGGGAGCGCCGAATGGCAAACAGGGAGCCCCGACCGGCACACGGGGAGCACCGACCGACACATGGATTGTCACCGACAGATAAACGGGAAACGCAGTCATATTCTATCTTCACATTTTGTTATTTTCTTATACTTTAGAAATACGTTAGGTTATAAAGGACATTGAAGTGAACGATAGGTAAGGGTCGCATTTGAAAAGAATATTCAAAGGCTGTTGGTGGCATTAGACGACAAATACAATTTGTGTAGGGTTCCAAAGTAAATGAATCGTTACCCCGTGGAAATATGATACTGAATGTAATGAATAGTGGATATTCTAGACATGAGAGCCTGGAGTATTGTATGTAGGATTATCAATGACAACTAAAAATCACACAAGAAAAAATAAAGGCAGTATTCAGTCTTCATATTCATTAACCACAAGACAACGTTTACATGTAGCTAATAAACATCCTACGCCTACCGCCTCTAGGAGTCTTACTAGGAACCGGGGATTCACTCGGATGTATCAGGACGGTGACTCACACACGGAAAATGTCAGCAGTGGCGCAACGTGGGGCGTTATTCCTCGATACCGTGGCCAGCCGCGGTACCAAGGTTGTATTCGAATACAGCTCAGATATGGTGGTAGCACGGAGATCAGCGAAAGAAAGATAACTTGAACGATAATGTAACTGACACAGAGAAGTGCAATAAATTAGCTCGTCCTACGCTATGTAGCTTTTGCAGGGTTACTTTTCCAGGAAAAGTCGAGAGGGGGAATAAAGCTCGGGGCAAGGGCGGATCCAGTGGCATCTGAAAGGGGGCCCAATGCCATTAGGTTTTTGGATGGCGCCTGCAGAACCTTACCTACCCCCAAATCCTACTCTCTCCCCGGATTCTGGCCACTTTATATTGTTAGGTTGCCAAAAAATAAATCAGCTAAAAAATATACGTAGGTACCTACCTTGGCGGTAAGGGGCGGGGGAGGTCCCAACTTGACTGCGCCCTTGCAAAAGTCAATCAGTAGTATTAACCCTCGCCGGACCTATTGGTTTTCTACATACGCGCCGGCCGAGGGGGGGGGCGGGTACGACCCCCCCCTCGCCATTTCGCCCCTGGTGGAGCTAGCGCGTCGCGGAAAAAACGAGCGTGTGCGCCGTTACGAGACGCAGAGATTGGTACCCGATTTTAAGGTCCTAGGTCAACCGGTGACCTCTGAGGTCAGGTCAAGTGCCCCAGGGTACGGTTCAGTTTTTGGTGAATAACTTCGCAAAAAACGGCCGCAGAGCCGCGATTTTGGCAGCATCGTGTTCGCCTCGCTCAGGCGCGTCGAATGATATACTTTTTGTCCGGGTAAGGTCAACTTGGGGTGTTGACCTCAGGTCAAGGTCAGGTCAGCACCCCAAGGTCACGAAGTTGGTCGAAAGAGGTCATGTCGCATATCATTCGATTCGGCAGGTCTTCCTGAGTCCATTGGTGGCTTTCTCGACTCGCTAGCTCAATTTGATCAAGAGTTATTGACGAAAAACTAATATGACCTTGATGACGTCATAAATGACGTCACGGAAGGTCAACATTGCAAAAGTGACGCATCTAACCTTGCAAGGAGTGCATCAAATCACGATTCTGTGTGCTTGAGATAGTTGGAGATCGTTCCCGGCGCCAGAATAGCAATTTTCATTTTCCCCCATTGACTTATAATGGTGAGGTCACAAAAATGACCTGACCTCATATGACCTTTAGGAAAAATCCGAGATATACAAGTTGTGAGACTCATAATGGATACTAGATCCTGCAAGTTTCATTTCCCTGTGACATCTCCTCTGGCAGTGAGGGCGTTGCGAAGTTGCGACATCTGAAGACCGTGCAGAGGTTCACTTATGACGTCATAGGTCAGTGACCTGACCTGACCCAAAAATGCGGTTGGTGTCAAAAGATGCGGCTTGGATCAAAGGTCAGGTATGCCAAGTTTCAGCTCTCTATCGCCAGCGTGTTCGGAGCTATCGCGAAAAAAACCCTATGGGGGGGGGCGGCACCCGCCCCCCCCCCTCGGCCGGCGAGGGTTAACCTATTTACTCTGGCTAAACATCAAGTAGCGCCTTTCTAAATAGAGAGAGGTTAGCACGTGACTATTTTTGCTAGGCCAAGACCGATTGAAGGACCCTGGTTCGAAGGAAGACCCTTGGTTCGAAGAGGTCATGACCCCCGTCCCCCGCCGGTTTCTACGCCTGTAGCGATATGTCAGTGATTGCGAAGAGACGGAATAGACAAAACAAGAGACGGTCCCACCGACCATCCGATCGGTATCGGGTCAAATCTGGAGTTCCCGCTGCACTAAACGTAAAATGGTTGGATGGAACCTCAAATTGAAAATTATCTAAGCGCCAGCAACGTTGATTGATGACAAGAGTCTGATCAACGATGATTATAGAATCTGAGTAGCGAATTGACTGAAAATGGGCTCAAAAATAAATTTGAAAGGGGGAAACTCCCCCTTCCCTCCCTAGCCGTTCACGCACAATTTAAAAGGGGAGTGGAATTTTCGAAGGGGGGAAATTCCCCCTTTCCCCCCCTTTAAAAGTTACCCTGAGCTTTTGTATACCTATTCATTTAACACGTAAGCAATAGTGAAAATCACAGCGCCAACGAAAACAGTACCGTAAACCGGGGTGAGTTGATATGGGGTGGTGAGTTGATATAAATTGCTCGAAAAATGTTAAAATGTGTGCTGCTCATCCATTTGTAAACCAATTTTCAGTTTTATTTTTCTGAGAAGTGAAGCAACCAATAAGTGATGCATATAGCTGAGAAAGGCATGCATGTGGTGCAGTGCCTTCTTAACACATTACTTTTTTCAAAGTCCTTTTTTTCTTCTGATTTTGAAACTAAGGAAAAGTCCCCACCCTACAGTAAAGACGATGGATATTCATGGAACAACATGCACTGGGAAAGAAACTACCATCAATTTACTGTTGATCCCAGGTAGTTTTGGGTTTCACCTGTAACAACGCTTTTTTATAATTTTAAGAAAAGTGACAGGTGGTGAGTTGATATGCCATCAAGGGGTGAGTTGATATGCATGATAAGAGCTGATACCAGGCTGGTATGCATGCAAATTAGCATGAAATATGGGTCTGCAGGTAAGACAAAGTCAATTAGACCAACTCTTCTCCTTTTCTCTCCCCAAATCATTCCATCAACCCCCAAAAGTTTTTTTTTTAATGCTTGAGACGAGACCTGTTAGTATCACTGATGTTAGTTGTCGGACTTTCGTCCCCGTCTTGAGTTGAGATGTTAGTTTCACAACGTTTCAGCCAGTAACTTCTCCGGCCATACTCAAATCTGCCTCGATAGTGGAGTGGTTAGAACCGTGTACCATCACCGGGGAAACCCGAGTTCGATTCCCGCTGACTACAGGAGCTTTCGAACGGTTTGACGCGTACGGCGCAACGCCACCAACATCTAGGTCCTTCTGAAGGTCAAAGAACACCTGACGAGTGACGACGGCCGGAGAGTAACTGGCCAAAACGTTGTGAAACTAACATCTCAACTGAAGACGGGGACAAAGGTCCGACAACTAACATAAGTGACCCCAAAGTGTTTTTCTGTGGACAAACCTAACATGCAAAAGGCACAGCACAACTCCCTGTCAAGTCTCAAGATCGCTCCCTACAAGCTACAAAGGAACACTATAGAACACCTATATACATACAGATTAAAAAATTGTTATAATTATTAATTATCCGTAGTTTCGAAAATGACAGAACTGTCGTTTCTGTATGGCTAACAGCGCGGGAATTCTGATCTCGTGAAACTGATAAGTTTTCCTGCTTGGCAGTTGCCAACCGAGAATAAGTGACAAAATGAAATGGAATAAACGATATAAAGAAATTGACTGGTGTTTTAGCCCTCGCCCGTATTCGTGTTTTGCCAGCGTTTAACGTATTGGGGGGGGGGGGGGGGTCCGTTGGAATCCCATCGTCGTTTGGCCCCTGGTGGAGCTAGAGCTTCGCGGAAAAAAAACGAGCGTGTTGCCCGAGACGCGAGGAAGCCGATGATAACCAACTTTAAGGTCCTAGGTCATCGGTTAACCTTCCAGGCCAGGTCAATTACCCAGAAGTCGGGAAAATAGGGGGTTATTTGAAGTTCGTAAAGCGAGGTTATTATTTTTTGGCGGTTGCTGATCACGAATGTCATGTTAGTTTTGATCACAGATGTCTTCGTACATTTAGGCCAGGTCAGGTCAGCCAGTAGGTGTCCTGCCGGCTATCCATAGGGAGTGTCAAGTGTCAACTACCACTGACGGTGTCGTAACATGTTACGAAGGCACTAAAACTACTTCGTAAATGATCAAATGCATGTTAAATTCGAAATCGGCCCGAAAACTACCTTAGAAACATGTAAAACTTCAAAAAGTGAACCGAGGTTGCCAAAGGTCAATGACCTGACCTGACCTTCAGGTGACCTTGACAGTTGACACCCACAATACTGCATGGGACCAACATCATTTACATGTTTGGACGTTATGTAATCACAAAAAAGCTGGAAATGCGCGGATAATGTGAGCCGACTACGCCAAATCGCGATTCCGGCCAAGCATGGTCTCGAGAATCAGGTCACAAGCCAAAAACCATTTGAGTCAGGGTCATGAAATTTTTAGAACATGTGTAGAATTGATAAACTCGAGAGGTACTGAAAGTTTCGTCGCGATCGGCCGCTTTTTGCGCGAGTTACGTGCGAAAAGCCGAGGTGGTCCGTTCGCCCGCCTATAAGTGCGACGGTTAATTTTGGCTTTTGATGCCGAATTCTGTTTTATAACGCTTATTTCACCTGATAGAATACAGTCCGAATTAGATTCGCTTCACTTCAAGTCATTAATATTATGTTGACTGCCAGTCAACAAAAGCTCAGAAGTATATGTATTCTTT